TTTCAGGGTTTTTATCGGTTTTCAGCGTTATTTTGTTATCGTCTTTATCGTTTACTCGGTTTTCCTGGGTCTTTTCACGTGTGTTATGAATAAATTTTCTTTTTTTCGGTACCGGTACTAGTTTTATTTTGTTGTATTTATCCGCGACACCTGAAAATATTGTCAGGCATAAACCGGTCCGTGGCGCAAAAAAGGTTGGAGACCGCTGCTTTAAGTCAAAGGACAAGTCACAACCACAAAGTGTCTCACATATGGCTAGTTCAATCCTTACAGCTACAGTACAGGTTATGGGAAGTCATATCATCACAGAGGTTTGTGAGAAAATTCCAGAAAGTTACTGTGCTTTTCCAAGAAACAGTTCAGGAGAGGATGTTTTGTGAAACAGGGGACATGTCTTTTAACTAAGACTGCTAAACTAAACTAGCACTGCTATATTTGATTCTTACTCGCTCATCCAAAGACACACAAGCACCAAGTGGTATATACATATGCAGACACATATCAAGATTCAAGATACAGTAATGTAAAGCTATTTCTTTTTAAATAATGACTTTTACGGGCGCTATCTGACACTGTTGTCTTTGTCGCTCACAGGGAACCATGACTGGGTTGGCAGTGATTTTGCTATTAATGCAGGAGTTGGATTGGTGGTCAAAATGAACGGCAGTGCTGAAGACAGAGGAGTGACAATCCTGGAACATGTCAAAGCTACTTTTGAAAGGGACTGGAGGTCCCGCTACGCTCAGAGCCGACATGGAGTCAAGGATCAGCAGGGAAAATACAGAAACTTGCAACAGGGGAAAAAATATATGGAAACTAAGGAGGAAAATGAATGGAACTACCCTTTATATTTATAAGCACAAAAAGTCTTTTCCCAGTATGTCTTAAAGCCTCATAAGCCTAAATATGCTAGATCTTACAAATATGTACACAAATAAGAATGTAAACCTACTCTATACTGTATGACTTGCCAAAGTATTGCTTTGACTCAGTATTATAATAATATATGTTTAATTGTTGACTGTTATATAAGCATGTAATACTGCATGCATACCAAAAGCAATATCTCAGTATTAACTCAGTATTAACTATATACTAGCACAAGCAATGTGACAAAAACAATTCTCTCTATGTGTAACCCACCAAAACAGTTTACATACATCCACTATTTTTAAGTCCTTCATTGCATTTTATATGTTTTTAAATCTACAGTTTGGCTGCAACTGTAATCAGGTCAGATCCTGAAATGGCACACACCGGCATATGCAGTAGTTTTATTCTGTTCATCATATCTCTTAAATTATTCATCTGTCTTCATAAAACATAGCTTTTTCCTTGTTGGTGTTGTTTTTATTTCAGTCTGCTGGTATGTTTAGTGCCCAAAATGTTTCACTATACAAATTTGTATTGCTGACAGAACAAAAGTATTTATAGGTATGTTTTGCCTTATCCTGTCTTTCCATCCAAGCCAGTAATAAGCTGCAAGTTAAATGCTCAAAAGCCTGCAGACAAAAAATAAGCCTTGAATAGTTTTGGTTTAAAAATGCATAATTTAAATAAAGGATTTGAGAGTTCTCAAGTGACTCATCTTACCAGCACTTCACAGTTAATAACTGGAAAAAGACAAATTTACTAACAAATCCAAGTTTGAGATTTGGGTCAGCACCACAACACCCACACTTTTTTAACATGACAGCAGGAGTATTCAGGACTGGGATTGTTTTGCCCTGAGCTGGACCATTGGCGTAACTTTGTGCTGAACATTTGGGGGGGGACCTATATCGACTGAGCAAGAGGAATTTCTGTTCTTCAAACGTGCTCAGGCCTGTGGTTTACATCTTTAACCTCTTAAGACCCGAACTCTTCCACGGCATGCATTTTTAATTTCTCTTTGATATTTGGGAATATTGGGGCCCGATGAATGTAAAAACAAAAAATTACCAGATTTTTTTTTTTTTACCTTATTTTTGTTTTTAAGAAAAATAAGAGCCACATATGAGGATATTCGTTTAAAACTTTGATAGAACAGTAGCAGTATAATGTCCTTTTAAGTGGATATCAGGCCCTTGTAGAGCAAAATTGAGTAATTTGGTCTAAATAACCCAAAATGTGATGTCCACATATGTGGACGCCAGGTCCTTGGAGGTTAAGGAGATGCATTCATACTGCAGCAGGTTAGTAATTCCCAACACACAGCTCAGAGTGGATCTAGTATGCTCATGCTGTATTTTTTTTTTCTGGGAGTCCATTTGATCGATCATGTGGGATTTACAGTTATCTTCTACATGACACTGGTTCAGCCCCCACAGTCTTTCACTATCTGAAAAAAATTACTCTTTACCCTTTAATGCCACATTTCCTCTAACTGAAGGCCCCATCACAAACAGGAGGATAGTGCTGCCATGCTCACAGACAGAGCTGTGTGTGATAGCCCTGCTAAAGAGATTCTCTAGCTCAAAGGAATTACTTCTACTATATATTAATGAATATATCTAATATCACAATGGGCATCCAGATATAGATATAGATATATCTAAGACTAATGAACATCAAGGATTGGTACAAAGTAATCTTGTCATTGCCCATGATTTTGCTATTTTGAGTTCTTAGTTCGAGTTTTATTTTTGTTTTTTTAATTAGAGTTTATTCGTTTCCTCAGTTCTTTCTCTTTGTTTTCCTTTGGTGTCTTTTCCCTTTATTAAATTTACTTTTGTGTCTGAGGTTCCCAGTTTAGTTATTGTTATTTTCTTTCTGAATTACTTTACTTGTTAATTGTCTTCTGTGTCTCATATTCAGTTCCTTCTTCCTCCCCTGTGATTGTGTTGATTCTGTGCACCAGTGTCTCATTTCCTCCCAGCTGTGTCTCATTTCCTTGATTAACTTTTACTGTGTGAGTATACATAGTGCTGTCTTCTCTTTGTCTGTGCTTGCAGTTTTTGTTTATTCTCCTAGTTTGTTTGCATGTATCACCTCTGCTGTTGGATTTATGAAACTTATTATTTATTGGGCTTTTATCCACCAATAAAGTTGCATTTTGTTTATTCCACCTGTATCCTGAGTCTATATTTGGGTCCTTAACCTAAAAACTGTGACATATCTGACCTCAAGCTTGAACGGAGGCACTTAAAGACTGACAAAGCCAAGCTTGTTCAAACACTGTCAGACAATGCTTGGATAAGACAGGTTATAAGGCTTAATCTATCCGTCCCATTTACTGCTTGTCCAATTCGGGGTCATGGGGTGACTGGAGCCTATCCCAGCTGTCATACGGTGAGAGGCCACATTTGAGCTATGGCCAAATAAAACATCTATCCTCTGAGATCAAGTCAAGGTTTGTGGAAAAAGGAAAATAAGGAAAATATTTTTCAGAATATTTTTGGCCACTCAAGGGTGGACAGACAAACAGCAAACTTACAAGAAAATACCCAAAAAGGAGAGAGAAAAGTGTTACCTGTACACTAAAAACAGAGAAGTATTTGTTTCTAGGCAATGTATTAAAGGCCAAGTTGTTTTCATTTCTCCTGTTCATTTGAGCCATTTAAAAATTTCTTCCTTAAGCAAACGTCTGAAATTGAACCCATGTACTGTGAGTGATGGGAGACAAGAAGAAAAATTCTTCTGTATAAAAATGTATGATAATGTTTATTTTTAAGTAAATGTGGAGGATCATATGTCATATCGAGTAATTAATTTCTGTATCTTTCTGTAGCAACAATTACTAAAGTCAAGAGTGGTGCAGCCCACTCACAAATCAGAAAATTCCGTGGGGCCTTAAATCTTAACTTTAAACAAAATGAAAGTGATGTATTTCCTTGAACATTTTACTCAAAAAAATATAAGCAACACAGGCTGTTGGCTATAAATTGCTAATGCTACCTAGTGTTAAGGCCAATGTATGACCCACTTTCAGTACAAGAGCAAAAAAATTTAGGTCAGATTAATGAGTCGTACCACAAACTAACCTGCTATTACCAATTTGAATTCTGTCTTATAAATCAAACTGTCTAACTGTACATACTCACTTGAGTGAGTAATTTCAACCACAATTTCTCTTATTTCTGCAGCCAATCTGCAGTACCTTTGATGCCTAGCAGGGTGCCTCAACCCACACTTTAGGAACCACCATTCTACTGTTCTAAAGCAGTAATGTAGACTTGTACACATTTACAGTTATTGTTGGAATCATAAATGGACAAAACATATAGAAAGATCAATTGCACAATTGTTCATGATGTTATCTTACGAGTAATATTGACCAGATATCAATATCATTCAGGGTTATTGTGACACTCTTAATATAAACACAACTTTACGATTTTAAATGTATAAACTGTAATTTGTAGCAATGGGAATTGCATTTACCCATTTTTTCCGCCCGGAGTCTTGAGAGTGTAACACCGGAAGGTGAGAAGTAGACTCATGACTGTTTATTAAGAGTTTAAAATAAGTTTACCTCGGACGAGGGAAAGTTCAACCGAGCATCTTGTGGAGTTTATAGAGAGAACAAGATGAAACATAATTTATCTAGAAATTGTGCACAAAAAATGTATAACTTAAACACGAGGTGGTGCTGTTACACCATTATGGTCTTTTGCGTGCCAAAGTTTTGTACTGTGAGTTTATTTTGGAGGTATTCTGATGTATTCAGAGGTAAGAACCTCAACGACGTCTCTGATATGTTTCTAGATTAGTCTAGCAACCTTTTGAATTCAGATTAACGCTTTTAGTGATTGCTGTGCTTTCTGGGTTGGACTGTGTATTTCTGTATAAAATTACCGGTGGGCTGCATTTTGTTTTTGGGGGAGTAGGGGGATTTAATATCTCCACTTAGCATCTACGAGCAATGCTAAGTGGCTACAGCTGAAGTGGATGTATCAGCAGCAGCAGCCTTACTTCTGCTGCCCGGTGGAAGAGAGGCTACTGCTGCTGCTGCTGAAAGGAAGGGGTGGGGGCGCTATCACCATGGTAACAGATTAAAGGCAAAGCTATTTCGGCGTTTCTGCTGCAGTAACTTCAGAATATGAACCCAAGGGGATTTTTTTTTTTGAGTTAAATTATATTAGGGAGGTGATATTTCTATTTGGCTCAAATGCCACTTTTTCAAACTTCTTTGCTCCTTTAAACATCCCTAATACAGCAGTGCCAACTCTTTCAGTGCGACGAGCAGAGAGCAGGAGGGGGGGGAGGAGGAGGATTGACAGCAGATGCCTTTGCAGCAGAGGACCAGAGAGGATGTATGTCCGTGTGTGCTGTTCCGGGACAAAATCCGCACATGTTTAAACGTTCACTTATCGAAAATTAAACCGCGAGATTTTACGAGTTTGTGAGAGAAAGCAAAGACAATTCAAAGTGCAGTGTCAGAGGGAATTCTTCTCTAAAGAAGATGGACGGGACGACCTGAATAGACGATTGGATCACTTCATTTAAAAGATGTATTTCGTGCTATCATTTTTTTTTTCTTGATTAAATCAACTTGGATGTTCTATTGAGACCAGTCACTCAAAGCCTAGCTAACGATGGAGAGGGGAGTTTTTCTGCCCTGTCTGGATCAGTTCATGCTGAGCCCACTTGTCACTTGGGTAAGTGATGTACGATGCTCTTGTCTCCTCACAGATACTGTGATATCGACCTCAAATCCCATATTCTCTTTGCTGTTTAGGTGAGGACATTCGTGCCAAATGATGGGGGCATGCACTTGGATTTTTCTGAACTGCTGGATGGAGTCTTTCTAAACGACATAATGACCCAAATGTAAGTAATTTTATCCCAGTTTGAGCCTCCTGTTCATTTATCTGATTTTCAATCTAAGTTGTGTCAAGATAAATTCAGATTTTTGGCTGACTGTGGTCAATAAAGAATCTTTTTTTTTTTTTGCTGATTTCTGATCCTCTTGCTTCATGGTGTAGCATCCACTGATACTGTATGAAGCATCTGCTAACATTCTTATCCAGGGATCAACAGTACCAGCTTTGTTACTCTGCAGTAATAAAGGGGATCTTTGTAGTCAGCTGCAGACTTCCTCATTACTGACAGGTTCGGGTGTCTGACATAAATGTTAGAATTAGCATAAAAGTTACCCAGAGATGTACGGCTTGAGACAGACCAGACTGAAGGCAAGAGATTAACCAAAACATGAGAGACCTCATCCATACTGGCAAGATGCTACTTAAGAGATTATGATAGTTTTGCCTTATGTTCTGAGGGAATTACCCTCGTCCTTAGCAAACACTACCAAACCAGTGTGTTAAGCCTTCATGTGCAAGTTAAATGACACTTCAAAGATTGATAGATGACTCCTAACTAAAACTGAAGCACTCCAAAGAAAGAGGAAAAAAACTATGATCGAGTGCACTTGTGGATAATGCTCTTTAGCCATTGCAAATCTATAGTATCCATTCACCCCAATTATCTCCCCAGGGTCACAATAACCAGTTCTACATGAAAAAAAAAAGTTGCACTGAAGGGAGGGGAAGAGGCGGGATAATCTCCTGGATTGGGAAGACCCTTTGGGATTAGGGCCTGGTGTTTAGTGCCACTGGGACACAGATGGGAGGGGGAAAGAGTACAGAACAGGACAAACAGCACACAGAGGGAGACTCGGCAGCTCAGCATTATATTTGTGTCTGTTTCAATAATTATGACTGACTCTTTTTACGCTTTGCCTTCTTCTTTTTATCATCGTATATTAAGCGTATATATATGTTTCACTTTCTCAGTAATGAAATCTTACCTCCATAACAACCTATAACAACATCAAGCTTTAGAAACACAACAAAACAAAACTCCAGTTTGTTGGCAGGAAGGAATGATGTCACACAGGCTAAAGTTGGGAATGAATAGGGATCTTGTGAATGTTTCCGAGTCCAGATTTCTATCAGTTGCAGCTTCTTCTTATCCAAACATGTTAATTATGTTTGACTGCTTGTTGGTTGGTTTGAAAATGGCAGTAAAGTCAAGTAAAACACTTTTATGTTACATTTTCAGAAATCCTTCAGCTTCATCTCAGAGTGCAAAGAAAATGAGCAAGGATCCAAGTCAGAGGATCCAGAACCTGAACTTTCTCGTGCAGCAGATCAAGACATTTTACCTGGTGAGTTCCCATTTTTTTTTATAGATACAGCAGCAGCTAAGCTTTCAATCTCCCTTAACATCAGATTTTAATATAGTCTGGGTTTACTTTAACTTCAACATACTGGATGACTTAGCAGATCAACTAGTTCTTCTTAAGATGCATGGCCTAAATTTCAGTCATGTGAACATCTGTGTAATCGGCACAGGAGCTGCATTAGAGCACAGCCAGAGCCAGAGTAAAGCTGCAGTCAGAGTCACAGACAGAGCTTTAGACTGACGTATAAAGTTGCAAAATTCATGGGCAGACACCAGTGGTGTTAAAATCTTGGATTTTCTGTCTGTGTCAGAGTAATTAAGCACAATTTAACCCTTGAAATCAGTCAGAATCACCAGAGAAGCGATTTCACTGAGAACGGGACAATGAATTGATTATCTTAAGGAAAGGATAATCCACACAAATGAAACCACAGTAGCAGTATTTCTACTGTAGTTGCTTTTTGAAAACATACATGTATGTCTGCTAGTTATGTTGTTAATAGTACCTTTGCACACCAACACAATGCATTTTAAATCAAAGAGTCAACATTCAATGAAGTTCAGACTTTCATCTTTAATTCAAGAAATCAAAAAAATGCATTAATTGTTTAGGAATTATACACAATTTTATACAGATCGTCTATTTTTATACTAATCTTAGAGGCTGAAAAGTAACAGAACAATTGACAAACTCAGTAATGAGGTCCAAAGGGATGTCCATGCAAGTGAAGATAATCTTTAGACTGAAAAACTAGAATCAATCTGTCAGAAACTTTAACAGTGGACAAATTATTCTTTAAAAAGGGTGCATTCCAACACGTTCTCACTCCCAAAGCGTAACATTTTACGCTAGGTGACAAAACGTCGACATGTTACGCCTCGGGAGTGAGAACGGGCTGTGCATTCTGAACTATACCGGGCTATGATCTCTACTCTGATGTAGCTAAATGCTGCAAAATTGATTGAACAGCAATTCACAGCATAAATAGATGGTGACCCAAACACACTGTAATAGCAAACCAAGAGTTTATCAAGGCAGAGAAGTGGGATATTCTTCAATGGCCAAATCAGTTATCTTATCTCACCTCAGTAGAACAGGCTTTTCAGTTATTGAGGGCATAACTGACGGAGGAGAGAACCAACAGAAGGCAGGCAGGAGTAAAAGTCTGGTAGAGCATCTCAACGGCGGAAACAGCATTTCGTGATCTTCATGGGTTCTAGACTTAAGACTTGCTGTAAATGATTTTTTTTATCCAAATGTTAGAATAATCCTTATTTCTTTAAAATTATGTCAGTTTGTCCACTTACTTTTGAAACTTTGAAAATGAGGAACTATGTATAAAAACGTCTGCAGTTCAGTTAATGCTATACTTACGTTAAACTCATCGAGTTAAAGCTGAAACTCTGCACTCTACTTCTCTATACAGTAACGTTACACAAACAGCTATATTACACAAACTGTGTCACTATCCAAAGACTTCAGGACCTAACTGTACACATTTTAAGTTGTTTGTCCCCAGTGAATGGAAACAGAGACAGTCTGAGATAAACTGCAGCATCCCATGTTTATTTTTGCATTAAAATTATTATTAGTAAGGCACTGTAGATCTAGGGCATCTAGAAGTGTTGCAGTCTATTTTTGGTTATTTTCATTCTCTAAGATCAGTTAAAAGACTTGACCGCTGCACTGGTTTAACTGGAACTTTCAGCTAAATGTCAGTGTGTGAACATGGTTCAAAGTTACAAGGCTAACATGTTTAGTATGTATGACGCTGTCTACAATTACAACATGAGTATAGCATCTAGCTTGCTGTCATTTAATAATTTGTGCTAAACAAATAGTGCAGCTGCAGCTGTTTGAATTAGTGTATTTTTGTTTGATTTTGACCTAATGGAGCTAAAGCTTACATTAAGGAGATGCAGTGATTCAATATGAAAGAGACAGAATAATAACAAGTGCAGTTCTATAGAGGAGCTTTCGCATAAGGTTCAAAAAGAAAGGATGATGGGAAACTTAGGCAGGGACAAGGCTGCAGCAGTTTTACAGAATTTCACCACGGCACCAGGGAAACTGGCTCTGTCATTTACCCATTCAGAGCACTCACCATTTGTTGGCAGTGTTTCTATACATGTATTTGAGCAGGTCCTATGTGCTGTACATACATACTTCTCCATCTATTCAAACACTTTGGCTAGAATGCAAGAAGTGTTTTGTCCTTGTTTCACTTTAACCCAAATGTGGGGTTTTTCTCTAACCATCTCTCTTCTCTTTTCTGTCTCTTCTTTTGTAGGATAATCTGAGACAATTAATCATGACTCCTTTGCCAAATGTGTTGCTGCTTGGCAGGACTCCTTACTGTGGTATGCTCTTTAAAACGATTATACATTCCCAATATGCACCGCTTGATTTTCAGTGGTCAGTGATTTCTGAATAGTTAACAATGAAAACCTTTGAGTCTGTAAAATGAAACAGACTCTTTTCAGCTCCTTTAATTCAACTGCACACCGCTATCAGTCTGATAGCCGCACTAACTTCTGATGGCAATGCTTCGGCAAGTGATGACCCAAATACACCAACCAGCGCTGTGTTCAGTTTAAATCCGTGACAGCAGTCCTACTTCGATCCAGTGGGTTTGTTTTCCAATAATTCAATTTCTTTACTCTCATAGAACAAAGCCTGGATGAAATGAGGAAACTTTTGCTATTACTATTGGGATGTGCAGTTCAGGTAAATACTGAGTGATTCATATTTAAAAATGGTGTTTATGTTTTACGTTTCTGGGTCAGATTTGTGCATTTTTGCATTTTTACAGTGTGAGAAGAAAGAGGAGTACATTGAGAGAATCCAGACACTTGACTTTGAGACAAAAGCAGCAATAGCTGCTCATATTCAGGAGGTATTTGACTTTATATGACATATGCTTTGAATGCTACAGCGTTTTTTTTTTTACAGGTAATCATTTGTTTTTGTGCAGTTGTTTGTGTAGTTGCTGTGTTTTGTATTATTCTTTCCTCAACTACGCTGATTGTCTTGTCCCGTGTTTAACAGTTGACTCACAGTCAAGACAATGTGCTGGATCTGCAGTGGTTGGAGTCTAGTGAGCTGCACCCCGATGATATGGAGGCAGCAGTAAGGAACATGACCGCACACCTCCGACACTTGCTGGATCAGAGGGATACCCATCTGGAGGTACTTAATTTTCATATTTACAAACAGTATTAGCTACATATTTTTATAGGAACAATGGATATTATTTTATTAAGATGCTTTTCATTTTAGACTGAGCTCAGATACTGCACACTCATCACTAATGTTCAACCTGTAGTATTAATCCTGCTTCCTATCTGCAGACTATAGCAGAGCTAATGCAGGAGAAAGAGGGTGTGGTAAGTTTGCTCAGTAGCCCCTCCAGCCCACAGTCTGCCAGCTACTCTCCTACAATTCAGCAGCAGCAGGTGGGGACCCAGCAACACCTTGCAGTCGAACTGGCTGACTCTAAGGCAAAGATCAGACGACTTAGACAAGAACTGTACGTATGTGATAGGTGGAAAAAATAATTGTTTTCTTTGTTTGTTGACTAAAATTAGCTTAAAAAGTTAAGATATATTACACTAACTGGAGATCAGAACATTTTCATATGAAAGTTACTACATAGATTGGATCAACGTTAAAAAAAAAGGCAAAGTAATACCAAAGAGGTTGTAGTAAGTTGGAATTTTTGTAGCACTTTTCTGCCCAGATTTATTTCATCTGTTGTCCCCTTCATGTCACCAAAATGTTTGCAGAGTAAAGCGTTTGCTTTTCTCCCACATTAAAAGATTATTAGGTTAAGCATTGTAGAGTTCCTCCTAACGGTGCTGATTGGTAAATGGGTTTCCTCTGTGTAACTGCCAGTAGGGAATAAATAGGAGGCAGAGAGAGAGAGAGATAGTACAGGATAAGAGATGCCCTGCAGAGTTTGGCCCACATTGCTGCCTGCTTGGCAGGTTCAATGCCTATGCACTACCACTGACCCATATTTGCTCTGCATATCTGCAGATACTGCACACACGAACACACGCACGCTAAAGCTGATCCAATCAAGATCTCAGTTCCATCATTGCTGTCCATCCCATCAGCTCACATACTGTTCAGAAACACAATGTCACATAAAGCCATGCTCTGATTTTTTTGAATGGCCTTAGACTATTCTTTTTTATATAAGAAAATTAACACGCTTTTTTTGTCATCAGCATGTGGGAAGGAAAGAAATGAAGCTTAACAGCTAATGTTTGATCCATTTTGTCAGAATTGCTTATATTTCTGTTATGCTTACTTATTATTTAAACATTTTCAATTCGTGTTTAAAATGTAGCGCATGTTAACCTCCCAACTTTATGTCTCTCTGTGATCCACACATGACACCAGAGAGGAGAAGAGTGAACAAATGCTGGACTGCAGACATGAGTTGGAGAACATGGAGGCTGAGCTGAAGAGAATCCAGCAGGAGGTCTGAAGTCAAAGAACACGTTGAAAGAAAAAAAAAAAAAAATCACAGCTAATGGTGACAAACAGTAACCTCCTGACCTCTCTGCAGCTTATGCAGATTATTGAACGCTGTACTTTGCTGCAGCTCCGTGCTTAATAACTACTAACTTAAACCTCTGAACACTGACTCAGATGTACAGCTAAAGCCCCTGTGGATTTGTCTGCTCGGGAAATCTCAATTTGCATTTGTGGCTTAGATGGTCACACTAGTTAACATGGTTCATATATTTATAACAATTAAATATTTAGTGAAAATAAAAGCAGTATTTAATTTCTTACAGCCATTTTTGTCTAGTGGAATGGAAAAAGTTATTATATCACCTTAAATTTTATATTGTTGTGAAACACTTAATCGTGATCTTTGTCTCTAAAGCTTCTTTATTAATAACATTTTACTTACTTATATGTGCCTTGGCTTTCCCTGATAAAGTTATCACATGATAACAGATCGGATGTTCACGTCTTACCATAACAAAAAACACACAAATCTTCCATTCGTGTTTCCAACTAAACTAAGTCAGTGTTCTCTGCTGTTTTAGCTATTTGATGTTGAACTGATGTTTGATGATGAACTTTAGAGTTTATGGCGGAAATTTCTGACTATAAAAAGCTGTATCAAGCTTAAGACTTTTTTGTTATAAAACATTCTTTTCTCTTAACTTTACCAGAATTCCCAGTTGCTTCTGGATGCACGCACAGCCCGCACTTACCGTGATGAACTGGATGCCCTGAGAGAGCGAGCCATCAAGGCGGACAAGCTGGAGAGTGAAGTGGGACGCTACAGGGAGCAACTGCACAAGATGGAGTTCTACAAAGCCAAAGTGGAGGTTGAGGCAGAATAAATACATGTAGAACATACATACATTACAAACATACAATAGACTTTTAATTAACTATTGTAGTGAAAGATTCAAATAAAGAGAAATATGATGATTGGGTGGGATTCAGTGTGGTTTAGTATTTAAGGTGAATTTAAATATTTTTTCATGTTTCAGGAGCTAAAGGAGGATAATAGGGTACTCCAGGAGACTAAAGAGGTTTTGGAAGATCAACTGGAAGGCTGGAGGGCACGCTCAGATAAAATCCACCAGCTGGAGAAACACAATCTGCTGTTGAAGGCCCAGGTCCATGACATGGAACAGGTCAGACATCTCCACAGAGTTTACCAGAAATATCATTTAAAATATCTGGAAGGTTAGATTTCATCTTTAATGTTCATCTAGCTTGTTCACCAGCTGGACAGGTAGCGCTCTTATACCACCGCTTATAGTTTGGGTTTTCACTTAAGGAGAGGGAGGCAGATCGGAGGCGCATTGAGGAATTGCAAACGGACAACTTGGCTTTGTGTTTGGCACAGAGGAGGAGTATGGAGGAGTCCCAGCACCTAGGCTGGGAGTTAGAGCAACTCTCCAAGACCACAGAAAGCTCCCAGGGTAAGAGTGGGTGTAAAGAAGGAATAATGAGAGCTTAGGCTAATCTACAATATATTGCCAAAAGTATTCACTTACCCATCCAAATCACTGAATTCAGGTAGTGTGCAGAGGTGACCAACTTTCTGCAGAGTCAGTCACTACAGACCTCCAAACTTCACGTGGTCTTCAGATTAGCTCAAGAACTGTGTGTAGATAACTTCATGGACTGGGTTTCCATAGTTGAAGAGCTGTATCCAAGCCTTACATCTCCAAGTGCAATGCAAAGCATTGGATACAGCGGTGTAAAGCACGCCCCCACTGGACCTTAGAGAATTGGAGACATGTTCTCTGGAGTGATGCATCACACTTCCCCATCTGCCAATCCAATGGATAAATCTAGGTTTTGTAGTTTTCCAGGAGAATATTACTTTTATGACTATATTATCCCAAGTGTAAAGTTTGGTGGAGGATGGATTATGGCATGGGATTGCTTTTCAGTTGGGCTCGACCCTGTCACGGCTGCATAGCCGGTGTGGCACAAAAGCAGACACGGGAGAGTAAACTCAGTGTATCAAAAGGCGAGCCATTTATTTGGCTGAAAATACATAAACATAAAACAAGGCAAAGCGAGCTGGGGAAAAAACTAAACTGAAACCTAAACGGTGAAAAAACTAAGATTAACTATGAAAACTGTGAACATTAACGTGAATCTGAAAAGGTGTATGCAGAACTATAACGTGAAAAAAAACAACGAACAAGCATCTGATCAGAAAGCATGAACTCAACTTGAAACCCAGAGTGGGGTAATACAAGACAAACAGACGACCTGACACTGAACTGTGGAAAGAGGACTTAAATACACAGAAGTGTAATGAGGGAAGTAGTAACACCTGGGGAAACACAGCTAACACAAATGAACCTGGCCCCACAGGGAAAACTAAACTAAACACACTGAACATGGAAACACAAGACTTTCAAAATAAAACAGGAAACATGGAGAGACATAGACATAATGACACAAGCTTGACACTTCAAAACAGAGACAAAAAAGTGCATGACAGACTGACACAGAAGACAGGAAAAGACTCAAACCAGGAGACATAGATAAAGCAAAAACTAGAATAAACTCAACTATATCCTAACTCAGGGGTGGGCAACTCCAGGCCTCGAGGGCCGGTGTCCTGCGGGTTTTAGATCAAACCCTGGGTCAACACACCTGAATCACATGATTAGTTTGTTACCAGGCCTCTGGAGAACTTCAAGACATGTTGAGAAGCTAATTTAGCCATTTAAATCAGCTGTGTTGGTTCAAGGACACATCTAAAACCTGCAGGGACACCGGCCCTCGAGGCCTGGAGTTGCCCACCCCTGTCCTAACTAATAATAGCAACACAAGAACTTAACATATTTCCAATATAACATAAGGCACCAATAATACAAAATAAACTCAAAATGTCAGGCTACAGACCCAGCCCCTGACAGACCCCTTAGTTCCAGTGAAAAGAATGAAGACATTTTGGACAATTTAATGCTCCTAATGTATAGGAATAGTTTGAAGATAGCCCAGTGCACTCAGATGAGCAGTGCGCAAAGTCCTAAAAGAAATGGATCAGCAGGTTTGGCCTGAAAGACCTTGACTGGCCTGCACAGAGTCCTGAGACTACAAGCCAGGCATTCTCGTCCAACATCATGTCCAACCTCAGAAATGCGCTTCTGGATGAATGGTCAAAATGTTCCATAAACACACACCTAAACCTGGTGGAAAGGCTTCCCAGAAAAATGTGAAGCTGCTATTTCAGGAAAGGATAGGACGACATCATATTAAACTCTGCGAGTTAAGAATGCTGTGTCATTCAAGTTCATATGCGTGACTACTTTTGGCAATATAGTGTACTTTCCAGTGAGAGTAGATAAGGATAAGTTATGTAAAGGTGTGCATGCATTATTGTGCCATCTCTTAAATAAGTTATTTACTTGAAATACTCGACAATCAGGCTTAAGATGTGACTTTTATTGTCTTTGTTAAATGAATCTCTGTTACAAAAAGTGAATCAGAGGCATGTCTGTACATATGAGTGGCGCTTCTACTGATACCAAACTTATTTTTAATGATATTTTTGTAAATAGCAGCATTGCAGAATGTGAAAGTGACCAGTTAATAACATTCCTAGAAAAGTGAGCTATTTTCATTTGTTTCTCTCAAGCGTCTTGCAAACTGACTGTGTGTTTGTGTGTTTGTCAAAAGGCCAGCAGACCCTGAGTGAGGAGGTCAGTGAGAGGGCCTGCAGTCGATTGCTGAAACTGGAGAAAGAGAACAAACATCTCCTGAAGATTATAGAGGAGCTCAGAGCTTCTGTTAATAACATCACACAAACCAAACATAGCCACCTGGCGATGTGTAGTAACAACTGTACCTCATCAACAGACGAGTCCTCAGTGTTGCAGACCTCCTGCTCGAATGCTAAAAATCACTCTAATGGAGTCTCCCTCAGTATTGTAACAGAGTCGATGCTAAATGGGGATTTAAGCTGCCATCAGCAGCTAGACACCGAGGAGTTGGAGCGAGTCCAGACTGTGAACCATCTCACAGCTAATCCAGAGCGTAATATCCAGGAGAAAGGACAGCTAGAGGATGGAGACAGTGGAGACCATTTCAAAGAAAGGATGTCTGATTTGGAAGTCTTAGAAAACAATCACAATAGGCGCCATTATTTTGTGAGGTCACATGATCACTCGCCTGGCTCAAAGAACAGCAGTCCCCGCCATGAAAGCATCTTCACAGGTCTGCCAACACGCTCCTCCTATGCCAGCAAGCACACACAGCGGCTAGAGGCCAAGTGCAGGGCCCTGGACACAATAAATCAGCATCTACAAACTTCACTTGACAACACTGGTAGGTCCCATAGAAAATAAGTAGTGTTTTTGTACTTATATAGCAAAACATTTTCAGATTAATTTATTTCTTCTATCATTCTCCATGTTCAAGACCGAAAGGTTCAGCGTCTAGAGGCAGAGGTTGAGGAGCTGGAAGCAGAGAATCAGAGCCTGCAGGCCTCTTTAGAGGATCTTCGCATCTCTGCACGACGCCTGGAGCAGTTAGAAACAGAGAAGCAGACCCTGGAGCATGAAACAACTGCCCTGGAGAGAGACAAGAGGCAGCTAGAGAAAGAGAATCGACGACTCCGGCAACAGGTGGACAAATTTTTTTTTTTTAAATAAAGATATCAGTTTTCTAGCGTTAGATAATGTTTGGAAACCTTATCGACTGTTCTACTTTCCTGTATTTCAGGCTGAAATCCAAGAAGCCAAATTAGACAGCAGTAATGTCTGTATGGCTAGCTTGGAAAGGGAGATGCGTTTTCTTGTAAAGGAAGTGGACGGATTAAGGGAAACTGCTGAGAGGGTGAAAGGCCTGGAGAGAGACAACAGAGAACTGACCAAGCAGGCTGCTATCGACCAGAGAACCCTGGCAACCCTCAGAGAAGTGAGGACTGACTGGATGCATAACATGACCGACAGCGTTTAATACATTTATTAGACTGTCACCCAATCTAAGGTTTATGCCAAAGCTGGCCTAACCGTACTGGTAATTACTAAAATGATTTTATTTTGTGTTTCTGTAATCATTAATACACCAGAAGCACAAGCTTTTTATATCAACATTACATTTTTAACACTAAAATAAAAATATTGTTGTTATTCATGAATTTTCAAATTTACAGTTTTACTAAAAATACTGAAAAAATAGTAAAGAACATCCTTATGTTTTGATTAAGATCCCAAATTTTCATTGTTTACTTGCAGTAAAAATTGTCTACTTTGCTGGCTCAAATTTAGGTATAAACATGAATTCATTTTGTTATTTACCTAATAAATAACAATATAATTTTTAGTTTTACACAAGCTTTTGACAGATTTCTAAAATATTCATATTTTCTGGTGGTCTAATAAATGTGTTAAGCACCTTAACCTTTAGTGGCAGTCTTCATATAACTACTTCAGGCCAGCTAAATGACATTGCCGTCCCTTACATAATTTCCTTAGGGATTAATAAAGTATTCTGATTTTGATTCTGATTAAGCAATACTGCTATTATGGAAACCTGTTTGTTTTATTTGAAATGTATTGTCTATCTTTAGGAGCTAGTTAGCGAGAAGCTGAGAACCCAGCAAAGAGACAATGAACTAGAGAGGCTTTCCCATGAGCTGGAAATGAAGGTCCTGAACCAGGAGAGTGCACATCAGGCTGAACAAGAGAGACCAGATAACAGGTCTGTGCATACTCTTTGGAGCTTTCTGTTCCCATCACGTAACTATTTAAGAGAATGTTATAACAAATGCAAAGTTTTATAACGCAAAATAATTTTCTATACACAGCAGGTTCAAAATGCTCGAGTCTGAGCTGGAGACATCTCTGAAAAAGTCTCTGCAGATAAAAGACGACAAGTTGGCTTCTTTGGAGGCCCGTCTGCAGGAATCCTCCTCTCTGAATCAGCAGCTGCGCCAGGAACTAAAGAGTGTAAGGAATAAAGTTAAGCTTCCCAGACCTGTTAGTTTCTCTGGATCCACTTGAACGACTGTCTTCCATCACACAGGTGAAGCTGAGCTATGAAGCCCTGCAACAGAGGCAGGAGGAAGAGAGGACAACATCAAGTTCCACACCTCCAAGAGAAACTGGCAAGGCCATGAGTGAATGGCTACGTGAAAGTCAGGAAGCTACCAAAGAACTGCTGAAGCTAAAAGATCGCCTCATTGAAGTCGAGAGAAATGTAAGTGACATTGTGTGTGTGAGAGAGATTGGGTGAATGAGACTCGTAGTAAAAAGTGCTTTGAGTGCTCAGTTAAAATAGAAAAGTGTCTAAATAAGTAGCAGTCCATTTACATTTCTGTAAACACATAAAGAGGAACATAGAACACATAAAGCTGTACAATATTAAATTATATCATGGGTTCCTGTACACAGAGATTCCCTATTTTTGATAATGGCACACAAATTATGCTAAAGCTAATACCACGTTACAGTTTGTCATAATATCTTCCTGCTCTCTTATGCAGAATGCGACACTGGAGGCAGAACGCCAGGCTTTACAAGCCCAGCTAAAACAGCTGGAAAGTCAGTCTGACAGCCAGCAGGCTCAGGTCCTTGCCCTGCAGCGGCAGGCTGCCTCACTGCAGGAGAACAACACAGCATTGCAGACACACAATGCAACCCTGCAGGTGTCATTACAATACACACTAGTCTCTGTAACAGAATTCACATAAAAGCTTCTGTAATATCCTCTGGTAAGCTTCTGCTCTTGTAAACAGCATACATAAACTATTTATGTTACATTAATTCCTTGGTGTTTTTCTCCAGGTGGAAAAGTCAACACTGAATTCACAGAGCGCCTCCCTTATGGCCCAAAACACTCAGCTGCAGCAGCAGCAGTCTAAGGCAGAAAGTGAACGGGACAGTGCTATACATGAACGTGAAGAGCTGCGTGGTGCTCAAGAGCAGCTGTTACGAGATCATGAGCGCCTGGCAGTCCTGCATGAGCGACAAGCCATGGAGTATGAGGCCCTGATGGGCAAGCACGGCTGTCTGAAAAATGCCCACCGCACACTGGAACTGGAGCATCGCACTCTTCAAGACAGGTAGGTCACAAGAGAGCTGTGGACGATGGTAAAAGTTTGCATACAAGTTCATTTAAACCACTTGTCTTAAGGATCATTCGTATCTTTAATCTGAGCATTGCCAGTTAACCTAAACCCAAACATGAACTTCATATTCATGTTTGGATTGTTATTTAGATACAACAGCCTGTTGCAGCAACGTAGCAAATTAGAAGACCTGGAGAAAGCCCTCAAGGAGGAGCAGATGAGGATGGCTTTGGAGAAAGAACAGCACAGGACAACGGCTGCTGAGTGCTGCAGACTCCGTGATGAGAAAGACTGGTGAGAACGTGCATGCACACAAACCTACACACACACATAAACTCCAGAGCATGTATATATATGTGGATATATCAACAAAGGAAATTTTTCTCATGATACATCATTTTTTAAGGCTGAACCAGACATACCGCCAGCTTCTTAACGATAACGAAGCGCTGACATCGGATCACAAGCAGCTCAAGAGCCAGCTGAATGAGGCCAAGCTGGAGCACACGTGGCTAGAGGCAGACTTTTCGAAGCTCAAAAAGGACTATCAGCAGCTCGACATCACGTGCACAAAACTCACAAATCAGTGCGAGGTATGCTTTCAAATCCTGTGAACAATCCGATGGTTGCATTAAAAAAACCAACTTTCAACCATTTTTTTCAAATGCTTAACCAATTCAGAATTCCAAAGGGGCTGAAACCTATCAACCCTGTTTTCACAATTGCATACCAGTGCGTGCTTTTGATAGATGTTTATTTATAAGCATGCATGTTCATCTGACGCTTAGCTGCTGAGCCAGTTGAAGGGCAACCTCGAGGAAGAGAACCGCCACCTGCTCGCCCAGATTGAGACCCTTATGCTACAGAACCGGACTTTGCTGGAGCAGACTATGGAGAGCAAAGATCTCTTTCATGTTGAAGAACGCCAGTATATGTAAGTGCACAGGACAATAGTAAGTTTACCATGATCAAATCTTTATGCTATAGTATTTTGCTAATGGACTTAACAATGTTTGGTACCTGCAGACAACAAAACATATCGCTAATTAGGATATCAAAAATGCCCCTTTAGTGAGACCTAAATTCTATTGATGATTAACCTATAATCTCTCTCTTTTCAGTGACAAGCTTAATCATTTGAGGAGGCAGAAAGAGAAGCTGGAGGAAAAGATAATGGACCAATATAAGTTTTATGAGCCCTCGCCTCCTCGCAGGTAAGGGGACACCTTTATTTTCATGTTTATGTTGATGAAACAAGTTTTATAACTTTTTACATAAATTCCAGTTCATAGAGACAGTTATTTGATCAATTAAGGCAATTTCATAGCATGGAACATGATTCATTTGTATGTAGTCATATTTCTGGCATGTGAATGCATAAGGATAAAGCAAAGTGAAATGTTCAGTGCATCATGGCAAGACCCTCAGCAGCCTGAACCTATAGCTGCATAACTCAGGCTAGCTTCAGGCTCACCTGAGTCGCTCTTATACTAATTAGAGGATCCTCATACCTGAAGGCTCTGCCTCCTGTTCTACTTTTGGAAACCATTGGAACTGGCAGTAAGCCTGCACACTGAGAGTGAAGGTCTCTGTTGGGATACATCTTTAAGATATTCCTGAATGAACTTCAAGTATTGATTGTTTAATCTGATCACAAGAATTTCAAGCTTAATTCGATGGGTAAGTGGTGATGCTTAACCACATCGATGCCCAGTGCATTTTCTGTGCAGACCATCCTCTGTGTTATATTATTTATTTGATTTCCCTTGAATTATCTGCTCTTCCACAGACGTGGGAACTGGATTACTTTGAAGCTGAAGAAGCTGATGAAATCCAATAGCCGCGAGCATGGGCCTGAACGCCCACCCACACCCACACACTCAGGCGTTCCTGAGCCTCAGCTCTCCTGTCACGACAACAGTTCTTTCATCAGCTCAAATGGCTCTGGAGGCTCAGCCTCCACATCAGCATGTGATGTCATCTCACCCCAACGTAACAGCAGTGAGTATTTCCTTCTCAAATTCAAAAGATCATCATCAGAGCTGAAACATGCAGATCATACAGGTGCGTTCATGTAAGATCCAATTCACAGCCACTGTACAGAGATGCATGAGCGAAGTGACGGACAAATCAGGTCCATGTACATCTACGTGTGAAGGACGCTCATCTTCCCAGAATTTGACAAAAAAGCCATTTTCTGCCTTAAGATTTTCCATCAAGGTGCGAAAGCTTAAATAAATATGTGTATTTTAAACTAAACCTGTTTCCACATCATTTATATGTGCATTTTGGTAACTATACATATACCAACGGCAGTGTGTGAACAAACTAGTTAGTTGTGTGTGTTTCATGTTCAAAGCATCATTCTTTCCAGTGCATGAGGTGTGTCAAGTTTCTTGAGGAATCCTCAGTATTTCTCCCCTTTGTCTTTCTCTTGTCTTTATATTTTTATTCACTCCTCCCAACACCCTCGGCTCTCTTTTCCCCTTGTCTTTGCCCTTCCTACTTCTCCCCTCTCTTTCTTTCCCCTTACTCTCTGCTGGCATCCACACCCTCCCCTCTATCTGTTCTGCGTGTCTCCCATGTGGTCACTCTTAAAAAGCCACTCTGAAAATGTTTCCCCGTATGAGGAACCGGCTGAAGGACAGAGACAAAGTCAAGTCCCTGTTTCGGCGTTCCATATGTAAGAAAGACTGTGGTCCGTTGTCTGGCTTCATCTTGCCCTTTTTACTCTCTTACTTCAGTAATTCCAACAGCTTTGTGCTTTATGCTTTTTTAATGCTAGCATACCACTAACTCATATCTGATTTGTCATTGTCCCCAAGTTCTAAAATAACTGGGTAATGTGTTAGCAGTGTGGACATCATTGGCAAACTCATTTCACCAGCCTAGTTTAAAGTTATTTGTTATGATATTGCATGTTCTTGCAGATACAGGCTGCTGCAGGACTTATTTTCTAACAGAGTGGCTATATTTGGAACAGTGTGGGGTATTTTATTAGAACCACAGAGGTCAAAGAAATGCTGCATTGCAGGAAGAGACTTTTGTGGCAGTAGCTTTGTAATCCCAGGCTGCAGTGAAAGCGAAACAGATTGAGATTATAATGTAAAAGCTCCATCCTTTACATCTGTTTATATAGTGACCACACTACTGGAAAAAAAACCCTCATAATCTTCACAGCCATTTCATCTTTCTGTTCCTTTACGTCATCCACATCCCACTTCTTCCATTCTTTCATCCAACAATGAAGCCCTGAGCAGCTTAGTCTGTCCCTCGCCCCCATTAGAGGTAAACTGCTTGCCTGACAGCTCAGTACAGCTGGAAGAGTCAGAAGCTGATGTGGAGGAAAGCAGGAAAGACCCACTGACCTCATCATTTACCGACTCCATCTCGTCCATCCTCCCCCTTCCTCATACCACCACTTTGCCATCTGTCCATCTCGACAGCACCACCACTGACATTGTTCCAGATGTTTCTGAGTTGTGGGGTAGAGGTATTGGTTTCCTTTTGTTTGTTTTTTTTTTGTTTTTTCTTTTGTTAATTTTAATTGATTATATAGTAAAATAAAGTGCAGAGTAATTAAATTAAAACACTGTCACGCGCTGTTCTTGCCTAAGCATAGAAAAGTGTCATTCACACAATAATTGTTTTATTCTTTGCCCCACAGATAAGCATTCAAATGACAGCAATTTGCCATCTGGACTTGAGGACAATGATGAGCTGCAAAATCACGGTAAAACCTTTGGGATACTCATTTAGAGGATTCAACAAACATGCAGGAATTAAGACTAAATCCACCAAATCGCAATCATGACCTTGTTTCATATTAATCTCTATGTTGATCCTTAGTGCCAGCAACTGTTAACTGCTGCTCCCTATTGGTCATTTAGCATATCAAGGTGAAAGAGTAGAGAGATGTTTTTTAAAATGATTTTCATATAAATTTTAGCTCTGAAAAAACATTGTAATCTCTTTTCAGGGCTGAATTGCGCTGAGAGCAGGGCCCAAAGTGAGAGCAGTGTTGAGTTCAACCTGAGCCTGGAGAATGAGCCGTGGTCAAATGGAAGCAGCCCTGTCCAGCACCCTCCGTCACGTCGTTCTTCCTCCTCCTCCTACCAACCACCCAGTGATGCCTCAACCCCCCTGCACACAAAGCAGCAGCACAAAGAGAAAGCCTCTACCATGCCCACTGCTAACAGTAAGATTTCAGATATCCAATGTGAACCAAAACAGAGAGATCCTGTTCTGCCTCAGGACTTCTGGCTTAGAAGGGGCACAAAAAGTATTCGAAGAGGGTCAAGGGGGAAGATGACAAGGCGCGCATCAGATTCAGGAGGTACAGTCAAAATCAATCCAGGACTCAATGGGATGAATCCTAAACTGAGCACAAGCAAAGTTGAAACTACCAAAGCTTCTGCTTGTTCACCAATCACAGTGTTGTATGTTCAGGGCAAGTCATCCTCAATGTCTGGCTGCCTCAACTGCTTCTCTTCCCCGATGGGAAAAGAAGGGCGACTTAAAGGGCCGTGGTCTCCCAAAAGTCTCCCTCGCGCAAGCAGTGTCATTTCAACAGCAGAGGGCTCGTCCCGACGATCCAGTGTCAGCAGTGACTACAAGGTGATAGTCAAGACTGACCTGGTCCCTGTCCAGGTTTCAGAGTATTCAGAGGGCAATATTAAGGAAGAAGCAGCAAGCCCGAATCAACAACCAGAGCCAGAGATTAAGAACAGTGAGCCTGCGCCCATTCCTCCTGTCAAACCTCCAAGAGACCCAGCAGCTGTGCAGGAGCCACTTTTTGACTCCTCATTCACTTTCAAATCTGTCTTTTCCAATACAATCTTTGGTGATTCTGTGGTTACCACCACAACTAGTCTAGATGGGCTTGACACCAACCGAACCGTCCTCTGTCAAAATTCACCTCTGGATCAAACCTGTTCACGAGAAATCTCAAAATCTGTCGAAAACACACCGCAAACAGTTCTTAATATGGCAGATGAGCAGAGTCAAAATCCAGAGCATGCAGCTGGGCTGGAAGGGAAAGACGAGCAGCTCACAGTTGCATGAAAGCAGCCGTCACTGTCACATCACTGTACAATTAGTCACTCAAATAAAGCAGGTGGCTATGAAGCAATTATTCATCACAGCACACAAGGATTTTAAGCAATCAGTATGTTTGCACTGTATTACACTGGCTACCTATAAAAGTGTGTTCAATAAAAAGACATTCTGATATTTTTTTTACATTGCTTTAGTAATCAACCTGAGCAGCAGATCAAAAGTGTTACAGTATTATTTACACGTTGGTTAATGTTTTGCACAAATGATGTTTAATTTCATTCAGTGATACGTAGATAGATCTCCTGTTTAACCTCTAATTAATTAGATTTGTATGTGTCATTCAGACCTTAGCCATACTTGTAAATATATTCGTGTTTGCCAAAAATATTGTATTCATTTTTGTAACTTCTATTTATGTTCTGTTCCTCATACACGAGTTATAACTTATTATGCACTGCTTTTAGAGTCTCTTTTATTTTGTATTTGAATCTGAGGTGGGAAGTGTTGCTCATATGTAAGACGTGTGTATATCTTCTACTACGTGAACGCTATTTTCCCTTAAATAAAGAAACCTGTGCAAAATGTGAAAAATTTTTGCTCGTCATTCTTTTGTAACCTGGGCCCGCCCCGTGTTCTTATTGGATGGGAGATCAGTCACGTGAGGACATGCGGAACTAGACCATTTTCGGTCGAAAAGCAAAACATTCGGGGGTGGCGAATTGAGTGACTCAGTCTGCTGTAACGTTACGCCGACCTGCTGGAGTGGTTTCATAAACTACGCCGTATAAGTCGACTGTTATACCCGGGGTTTGGCACGATGCTGAGCGCCGCCGCCGCGGAAAGGAACAAGGAGCCCATCCTGGCGGTGCTCCGGGATAGTGTGCACACCGGGAGACCCCTGCTGGCTCTGGAGATCTCCTCCGGTACTGGGCAGCATGTCACACACTTTGCTCAGGCCCTGCCGAATATAACCTGGCAGCCATCTGAGTATGATCGCCAGTCTATAGTCAGGTAAACAAGAGATGTGTGCATGCGTATAAACTATGAAATACAGATAATATACTGGGACATCTGTGCACCTATATTAGCTGTTAATATCCAAGAAACGTTAGTGTTAATATTTATCTCTTATATTTATATCTGTTTTTTATTCATCTATTTATATCTGTGTTTATAATCGTACTTTTTATATACGATTGTTTTGTTGTATGTTGAATGAGAACTCATATTTCTCCTCGGGTCAATAAAGTTTCTCTGATCTGATCTAATGCAGGAAATTATAATTAATTAATTAATTGCGTTTTCACAGCAGTTCTTCTTTGATGGAAAGTTTTATGCTTCGTCTTTCTAATACCACTCTACCTGCTCCAGAATGATGGCCTGGAGGGTTCCCATAATGTCTTTTGTTTCCATTAGTATAGAAGCATATAGAGCCCGCTACCGGCTGAACAATGTGAAGCCTGCCATCCACCTGGATGCTTCTCTGCCCTATCAATACTGGGGAGGAATCCAGCCAGAGAGCCTCGACCTGGTGCTCAACATCAACATGATCCATATTTCTCCTTTGGCTTGTACAGAGGTAGGACTGCTGATTCAGTGGTTCTCTCAAACTGTGTGGCATGGAGCCACTACTATAGGCATGGAGGACTAAGGGGAAAATGGAGTGATATGACTTATGAAGAGAAAAAAACAAAACAAAGAAACGTTTGATAATGCCATCTCGTTTTCCACTGATATTCAACTTGAATATTTTATTATTTCTCTTAATTAAAAAAATAGGGGTCTGGGATTTTGAAGATTTTTCAGCCTGTTCACCACTTAAGTGAAATGTTGTCTCTGGGTTTATAAGAAAGCACCTTTCAAAATAACAAAATAACAAAAAATGCTAAAACATTAAAACAAACAGTTACTCAAAATCAAGTTAAAAACTATGAGTTTTTAGCTGGTTTTAATAGAGATCCCTGAGTCCACAGATCTCAGGCTCAGAGGGAGAGTTCCAGAGTCACCGTTACAAAAGCTCTGCTTCCTTTAGTCCTCAGCCTTGTATGATGCACATCCAACAGGTCCTGATGACATGACCTTAGGGACCTGCTGTGGTCATATGGATTTATAATTTAATCCTATGGACCTACAAAAGGATCATAAGTTAAAATGTGGTTGATTCCTTTATTAGTAGTAGTAGTAATATCGATGTATTTTGTCCTTTTCAAATGCATATATAAACACATTTCTACTAAAGAAACTCAGCACAATTCCTGAAAGGAGAAGCCTAAATTGCTAACATAGTCAAGACATTTTTCATATTTGCTTAAACTGCCTCTTTGTAACCTTTGTTGAAAAGAGACCCCTGTGACCACGAGTGGTGTAATAGTAACCTAAATGTAGAAGGCTCTCAATCTCATACATACCAGCCGCACAACACATTGACGTTAGCTGTAACTGGCTACTATGAAGTGAGGTTCAGTTATGATTAAAGCTGTAGCAGCAAAACTGTTTTGCTTCATTTTGTGATTGTTTTAGATCAATAATTTGTTATTTCTACTATAAAATTCATCTCGTTTGGCTTGACATTGTACTCATTGGCCCTGATATTTATGGTGCCATAAGTGTAAATAATACCAACTGAAGTATGCTTGCACCACAACTCTTCAGATAATCACTTTAAGCCTGCTTCTGCACAATATCTGCCTCACTTATTTCAATAAAACAGAAACCAAAAACAAAATGTCCTCCTGCCTGCGATGTGGTTCTTAAGATGTTATCTTCTCTTAGGGTTTATTCAGAGGGGCTGGAGTAATGTTGAAATCTCAGGGCCTTCTACTGACTTATGGGGTGAGTAGCAAAACGTTTGGTGTCACAAAACATGACATAGATCACAAGCCATTATCAAGTCTAAACTTAACGTGTAATAGTGACATGTTTTATTGCTTTTCTCAGCCGTATGCAGTGAATGGTCAGATCGTCCCTCAAAGCAATGTGGACTTTGACTACAGCCTACGGCAGAGGTAATGGCATCTGTATTTTCTGGCTCTTTTACAGTTTTGTTTAAGCCAGTCATCTTACGAGGAGGCTTCGGTCGTGGACTGCCTGTCAGAACTACCAGAACATTTTCTGTTGGCCCACGGTTTTTAGCTTGCTGTGAAAAGTAAACCTGAGCAGTGATATTATAGGTCAACAGGAGTAAAGGCTCAGAATTCATGCATCATTTGCGACTCTGTCACTCTTGCTTAAATACACCGCTTTCATCACAGCATCTGAGATAGGGTGTGATAATTGACAGTCAAAAGAATGGTGGGCGAGAGAGGATGAGAGTAAAAGGAGATGCAGCTAAATGTTCAGAAATAAGTGTTTGTTGATGGTCTGACTGCTGATACAAGTAGCAGATGAATTCTGAAGCGTACAGGGCTCTACTCGTCTCAGATTCATCCAAGCGATACAAAACTGATTGGACAGCACTTGACAGTGGAAATGGTTAATGAATTAGATCATACTGCGTTAGACGTTAGATTTTTTTTTCAGTGGGCTAGGCCTTCACTCAATCTCAACCCACTTAAGTATGTTTTTCATCTACTGAGGACAACACAGTAAAGTAAAAGTGTGGCAGACGATGTCCAGGGAAGAAACGCAACATTTGACGATTTCTATGGGTTCTTCAGGTTCTTTCATCAAAACAACAAAAACAACACTTAATATAAAACTGTTTAATATAAAGCTTGTCTAATGACTATACATATGTGTGTGCGTGTGACCTGCATTTTTGAATTGTGAACCCTTATTGTACTTACTAGTATTGATATTTGTGATATTTAAAAATCAAATGTTAGATGTCATGTTATTAATATGAATAACTCTTCCATTTGCACAGCTTTTGTAGAGATGTGGATCAGAATTTGTCCACCCTCCCACACTCTTATTTTGAATGCAATTCATTTGCCAGATAGAGACAAAATACACTGCTGACAGCACTGCTGTTCTGTTTAAAATAGTGTAGTGAGCCAGTAACATGCTGCAACAGAAAAATAGGATTCTTGTTTCTTGGTAGTAAGGGGTATATCCAGATTGCTTAGGACTCAAAAGTAGAGAAAATATATATTATTCTTTTCAGAATTTGCTTTTGTTACAACCATTAACTTGTAACTGATTTATAAATAAGACGAATCGATTTTTTCTACCTTTTAAAAGCAATCAGGATTTAACAGTTATTAAACAGGAAGAAACACTGTGTTATATAGCGTAATATCAGTAAAGGGAATTCTTTGGCGGTTTACTGTCATAGTGAAGATGACAGTGAAAATTTGGCGGCAGCCCTAAATAACACATGGATAGTCTATTGTTTCTGTGTGAGCAAAGTGTCTTGAGAAGGAGTCGGTTTGACGGCCTGAATTATTGTGTCAGTTTGCTCATAGAAGGCTTTACACAGTATATTTAAAACCAACTAAGATCATCATAGTCTTTTGAAAATGTTTTTCCTTAAGCACACAGTAGAATTAATAAACGTGTATAATTTGTGAAGCCAAACTCACAAAATACATGCAAAGAAAAAATTTTGATCGTTTTTGTAATTACATAATAAAGATAAGCAAAAGTAACCAGGGGATTTTAAAAATTGTTGTTTAATTTTGCAGAAACCCAGAATGGGGACTCAGGGATATCTCGCTCCTCAATTCTCTGGCACAAAGCAATGGTTTGTACCTGGAGAGAATAGTAAGTAATGAACCCATTTAAGCAACCAGCATATCTTAAGTCAGCATGCAAAATATGAGAACAGTTTTGTAGTATACTGATTTACTGATGCCATTTGTTTTTCAGGTGGACATGCCAGCAAACAACAAATGTCTTCTTTTCAGGAAGGAAAGTTTGGTGTGAAGCATCCTGATGCAGGATGGTCAAAATGCCTTAACTTGGAGCTCAGATACATTGCCAAATTTTCAAGCGCCGTAAACGGATCATGTTTTCTCCACATTTTAACACATGCTGGTATTAGATTAACTAAGTTAATGTAAACTGTTGTGCTCAAACCTATAACCTATATTCTTATGTATTGCACATGAGTTAAATTAATAAATCTCACAAACACGTTGCCTTTGTGCTATATATTCTTTAAGACAATGGCCTATTCTTTTTTGTTTTGTAAGCGTGAAACTGACTTGGCAGAAGTGCTTTGAAGAGGGAAAGATTAAGAGAATATACTGTACTTTATATGAAATAAAAGACATTTTTTATGAAACAAAGATGGAGAAACTAAAGTGAAGAGCAGAAAAAAATAACATTAGCAAAAGTACGGTAATTATAATACAGATGTCTATTTGTTTAGTATTACAAGCTAGGGATGTTTGCAACATGATCAACATGTGTGTCTGTTATCTTGGCTGCTGTTTTCACAATGCAAAGTTCACAAATAAGAAAAAAAATCTTAAACCTATTTGAAAACAGCAATTTAGCATTAGTATTAATACAATGGGAATCAACACATCTGGAATGTTATTATATCTGTGTTGGAATAAAAAAAAAACTCTCATACCTACATCAGCATGCAGTATTTAACTTGTTCTACTCTGTTTTGATAAATAGTTATTAAATATCAGCTTTTCTGTTGCAGTTCTGATGCTTGTCTTCATTTCAAACACATACATCACTAAAACCCATCTGTGGACAGAACGAGTCTAAGTCATAGTAAGGTGTCACAGGCCTTTTTACCCAGAGCATCATGCAGCTTTTTCAGCCTGCGTTCATTTATGGCTCTTACATAGCTGTCTGAGTGGATGATAGCCATGCCGTCCTGCACCATACCCATCACCAGCAAAGGGTTTTCCTCAACAGTGATGTTGGGACAGGGACAGCTCCAGTCTATCTTAGCAATAGTCACCTCCAAATGTTTGGTATTGAAGAAAGTCAAGCCCATCTTCTCGTCCCTCAAGACTTCTTCCAAGCTAAAACGGGCTAACCCAGAGTCCAGATCCTCAACAAGCTCTGTCAGTCGGCCCACAATAGCAAAGTCACTGCGGCATAAGCTGGGCACCATTTTCCCCTTCACACGACAGGTCTTGCAAGGCTTCCTTTTTGGCTGCGGGCAGTTGGCCTCACACTCCTTTTTGGTGTGGAAGTTGTTAGCATTCCCATGGCAGCCACCATAGACAAAGGCTTGGCACTGTTTTGTTATGGAATTCCAGGACCAGCGTGCCTCCCAAGCTTTACAGGGACCTTGAACAGCAGGCAGAGAGCAGATCCCCATGTCTTCTCTCTGGCAAGAGGCTTTGCACTCTTCGTAAGTCTCAAATCGGTTTCGGCTGTCTTCGCATCCACCACTGCTAAACGTCACACAGGAGCCCAGCTTGCTGTCATAATACCAGTCAACATGACGCTCTCCACTGCACACACTCAGGTCGACTTCCGCCAGGCAATCTGCTGGAGAGAAAGGCCGTCCCATGGCCATCTCAGGATCTTCAGAGAAGTCATCATCTGACCGGCGAATAACAGACAGAGGATAGTCTGCGCGAAGAACTCCTGCAGAATTCCGTGCTATACAGGTGTAGATGCCGGTATCCCAAACCTGGGCGTTATAAATTACTAGCTGTCCAATATTGGTTATAACCACATTGCCATACATCTGATCAGGTCTCATGACAAGGCGTTCACGCCGGTCACTTTGCTTTTCCCATGTTACATCTGGTCTGGGGACTCCAATGACATCGCAGTGGAAGTTGACTGTGCCTCCAACATAGATGGACTGGTGGTGAGGGTTGGAGTACAGCGTGGGAGGCATGGGATCCTCCTGGGAGGATGTTGGGGTTGGGTGAACTGTAGTGTCTTGAGGCAGGGGGCTGGTGGGAGGGCCAGCGAGGTAGAATCGACAGGGGACCACAGTTAGAGTCACCCCCCGGATGCAAGCTTCTGCATCCATATAGCAGCGGTTGAAATAGGTGAGGCCATCTGATGCACAGGTGAAGTTGGGTTCCTTCTCACACCGATCCTGGCACTTACAGATGGGCTGTCCATCCCAGATGTCACAGGTTGCTCCCTGCTGGCTGCAGATAAAGCCCTCACAGGTAGCTGTGGAGGCGGAGGTAGCATCACCGTTCCCTTCACCCTGTTCATGTGGCAGAGCAGGGGTGCCATCAGAGAAACGAGCAGCAACACAACTGTTGAAGCCACACACATTGGTGCAGCATTTCTCAAAGTCAGCACAGTCCTGAACGTACAATATAAAAAAACAATAAGCATTTTAACATTTAAATGAATAAATCGCAAAATGCTGTGATGAATAAAATTAAAATTTATAGATTAACTCACCTCATCGATGTCGCATTCCCTCTCACATGTGCTTTGTGCATCAACCCAAAGATTAGCGTTCAGCTTGTTTGGACAAAATCCTTCGTGTTCAACTTTGGTTCCTGCCACACTTTCACACAAAGAGACCTCGAGTAAATCGCAAAAAAGGAGAGTCAACAAATATGCACGTGTCCATCGTACTTTGCTTGAGTTTGGTGCACTATGGCAATTTGCACCCTTTATATGGCTATCCGCGAGGAACTGTAGGGGGAAATTACGCATATTTGACCTTTTGTATGAGTAGACCACCAAGTAATTCCATTCCAACTTTGGGTCTTCACAACAGGAATACGATTATTGTCGATTTTCAAATGCGTCCGCCCTTTTTGTGCGTAAACGTGCGCCGAGTCACTTTTCTTTGCGCAGAGAGAAAAGTTGTATTCCCAATGATCAACACGAGTTCCCGTGCGCTGGACATTAAATTACCTAAATGTTTCAAAGTAATAAATAATAGGCTGTGTAAAATATTCGCCTTGGTAATCAAAACTTGTGCAATACTGAGGAAAAATCGACGTGTGTTTTGTCGAGCAGCTAGACAAACGAGCTGAACTGCACAATGAGCGGACAACGCAATATCAGCTTTTCAGCGTGAGAATGGAGGTGGAAAGGGCAGTCCCTCTATCCGCCCCCATGGTCGTCCAGTGTCTCAAACTTTTATGAAGCAGCACTATGCGCTAAGCAACTGGACAAACATTGTAAAAACATCAAAGAAAACGTGTAGCCGTGGTTTCAAGCTGTCTCACCATGCGTGCACAGACATACACATTCCGGTGAGAAATCCAATGTTAAATGTGTCCAGACAGAATTTATAGAGATGGCAATTGTAAAAGAAAAAGGTTAACTTGCTGTTTAATTTCACGAGAGCCGGTAGTTATTGTTCTTCTTCTTTGCTTTTTTGTAAGTTACATTCAGATGTTATACACGTTATATTTAAGCAGGTTCCGTGCACAAATGAAAAGGAGAAAAATGTAATAAGTCGTCGGTGGCGCAAGGCGGAAAGCGTGAAAACCAAACACGGGGCGTGTCGCATCATGTCTCGCAAAACATGTTGTTCACGTCCTCCTTGTCTAGACTTGGGTCAGTTTACTACCATCCCTCATTCACGCGGAGTTCAGAGATGCCACGGTCAGGTGGGAAGACATAAAGCGCCACATTTTCATCTGTGTGCGAATCATCTTTGTCTCGCTCCAGCTCAGGGGCAATGAGAAGCAGCTCCCCTCGTCTTTTCATTGGAAATGACCCTGCAACCTTTGGGTGACATTTGACCGCTGTGCATTCATGCGCTCCTAGCCATGTTAGACCAATATCCAAAGCTGGCCAATACCAAGAGAGCAGCTAATCAATTCAACCCCCCCACGGGATTTAATGCCTCTGACCTGACAACGAGGACAAAAATACTCCCACAATTCCCACAGTGAACTTGATAAATGTCTGAATGAAAAATTTCCCCCCCAATCTAAAGCACACAGTAAATGAAAATAGAAATGCAACTTAGTTTTACTCTTTATTTTGACTGTTTTTGATGGAGATAAAATAAGAATTAAGGCTTCATCCCAATACACAGCGCTGATAGCAACAATCATTATCAAACATTTACATATAGTGCTTTAGATGTTCACCCAAGAGTTGTTAATCCATTGTTCTGGTCTCAATAAATCACATAGAACAGGAGCCAATAGCAAACATGCACCAATTTTTGTAGGCCCCCCCATTAGCCGAATACATGTATTTAACCATGAAAATGCTGAAGTGGGAATTCACCAATGTTCTTTGAACGTGGAACAAAAATAAGAGTACAGATCAAAATTTAAATATTTGTTTAGATTGTTCAATTAATAAAAGAAAATATCAGTAGCCATGGTTAAAATACTTAACATCCTTTCTGAAATCTTTATCCAACCTTACATTGTGCTCGCATTATATCCACAGCACATCTGTAAAGAACGACTGTAAGTTCTTCTAGTATTCACACACATTTAACAATGCTGGAAAACTGCAGAAGTGCAACCAAATGTATGAAACTACTAAAGAATATTCCAACCACCAATTATTACAATCTCAAATATAACCACATGGCCATAGAAATGTAGGTGAATACTGTTTTACATTCAGAAATACATATCATGTATATAAAATATCTGCAAAGCAACCAAATTAAAATATTCTTCTCACCAACGCCCGTTACAAGTTATGAAATATTAAGAACCAAGACACAAATGTTTAATGTTTTTTAAGATTAAACCCCCAAAATGAGCAAACAATCTGTACATGTTTTTGTACAAGGTTTCCTAATGAGCACAGAGCAATTGTTTAATAAGTTAACAGATTAAAACTGATCACGCTCTGGAAGGTTTAATCCAGTTAAGCAGTGATCCAAGAAAGAAAACAAGCTTTAGAGGTGTAAAATGTCAGAGCATGTAAACAGTTGTCTGAAAAAATGAGTGATGGAGATGCAGGATTATTTCAATGGGCTGAAATTTAAGTCTTGCCAACAAGCCAACTTGGCTTGAATTTTTTCAGACAGTTTTACAGATTAAGTAATGCCTCGACTAACATCATCTCTCAGTTAATAAATCCTAAATTCTCTTTAAGCCCTTGGCTGCTTGTAAAAAGATTTTCTCATGACATTCAATCTTATTTTAAAAACTATGTGAATTTTGAATAAGTTATGACAACTGAGGCTGGAAAAAAATGTCAATGATAGACAACACTGAAGCAGGTCTCCCCAAAACATTCAAAACAAAACAAGCATAAGAAATTCCTTCCCAAGACAATCACCACAGAACAAAACAAGAGCACGTAATGTATTTACAGTTTCAAGTCCGATTTTAAATACCAATAAACCTTGAAAAAGAAGCCCCTCTATTTGTTTGTAGTGTTAACCGGTGAGTTGTAATCCTCGATTCACATGTGTTGGTCCCAGGGGAATCTTATTCTACTTGATCACAGTGAGTTGCTGTAGTAGAGTACAGGTAAACGAACATCCACAAGATGGCACCAGCACGCGGAAAGAGATAACAGAAACCAACCATCCAAGTCAGTTCCCAAAAGGTCAAGGAAAGTTCACAGCTATATCCATTGCTGGCAGGCCTCCGTACTTTTCTCTGGCCTCATGACCTCTTGGAGCAACAACACTTTTAACACTGGCTCTATGGAGGAACCATCAGTCTGCTCTTTCACTATGATATCTTACAGTTTCCTTTAGGGGACAACGACGAGCTCTTTGGAGGACTCTGTGGAGGCCTGAAGGACTTTGAGCGCTTCAGGCTGTTAGCTTTGCTTCCACCACCGCTACCACCTGAGGCGGCACTGTTAGCCACAGAGTAAGAGCGTCCATGCATCATGACTGCATTCATGCCATTGGCCATGGAGAAAGACTTGAGGTGGGACTTGATGGCCACAGGGAGGGGAAGTTTGTCAATGAGGTGCACCGGTGTGCAGGAGACGATAGAACGGCAGCACAGATCTTGCAGACTGAAGACTGTGGAAACATAGGAATATGGATGAGCACGTGTCAGAGATCTGCAGTACTTATTAAGGTTTTTCATTGTATCCATCAAATTTACTAAGCAAGAGAATATTCTGCGTAACAAGAGATAGAATTAAAGATTTTTACTCCTGCAAACTTCAGTGTAAACTGTGAATATACATAAACCAGACTATTCTGAGTAGTTTACCCAGAATTAGTATCTTAACTAAGAATACTTTTAAAATAATAATCTTATATTTTCTCCATTTGGGAAAAAACACACTTGTGTTGTCATGACATTCAAAACAAACAAACAAACAAACAAACAAACAAACAAACAAACAACTACATAAAATTTAATTATGTAACTGAGAGTATATTTAATAAAACAAAAACTGTACAACAGAGAGCGTTTTAAATACAACATAAATAAAAATCTTAGTTTTCTTATCAAAGAGCTAGCTTGATTTATGTAGGGGCACAGTAGAGACTACCCCGCAGTAAATGCTATGAAAACTATTGGCAGAAATGCAGACTGCAGATGACAATATAGAGATCACTTCTTAAGTCTTATCTCTTCTGCCTTTGGGGAAAATTAATGGCTACCTAATATTTATTAGGTCCAAGTCCCTACGATAAGCAGAGTTTCACCTTTGATCAAAAAAGTAATCCAGACACACCAGGCACAAGTATAAATGCAAACAATGATGATGTCCACTACAGTGTATGATGTTCTGGGATTCAACACAGGATTCAGTACTGAAACTGATTTATTCACATCTGA